TTAGAGAAATAGAACACACTCGAAAACTTGTCTAGCAAGTAAATTCCATATAAATTAGCTGTTCTTTTTAGGTTCCTGAAACTAAAGCAGTTTTAAATAAAAAATTACGAAACTATAAATGAATATTTGTTTAAATGAATAAGCGTATTGAATCCAAAATGTACTCTCTCTTTGAACTTGCTCCCAATATCAAGCTTAATAATTCATAATTTGTATGTTCTGGATAAAGAAAAGTACTTAAATGGTGGAAATTTAAAAAATGGCTTTTATTTATATTTGATATGGAAATGTTAAGGGAACAATATTCTAAAATTTACGTATATAAATAATATTTTAATAAAATGTCACAATAAATCTGAAGCGAAACTGTAAAATATTTAAGATGATGTGTGGCTTATAGTTTATGCGTTTATATTTTTATACCCTGTACCCGTAGGGTAAAAAGGGTATATTAGGTTTGTGCAAAGTATGTAACATACAGAAGGAAGCATCTCCGACCCCATAAAGTATATATATTCTGAATCAGCATGACGAGAGAAATCGATCTAGACATGTCCGTCCGTCCGTCTGTCCGTCTGTCCGTCCGTCTGGATGAACGCGAGGATCTCAGAAACTATAAAAGCTAGAATAACCAAAGTTGGCATCCAGATTCTCCTAGGTCCGAGAAAGGACGAGTTTATTTTATTTTTTTGAATTTTCCCCCCCTTCCCCCGCTACAGAATTTCGTGAATAGCGTCCACATTTCAAATGCTACCTCAACCAAACTTTGCACACATAATTTTTATATAATTGTCTATTGTTGTTCAATTCGGTCAATTCTAAGAAAAGTTATTAGCGAAACAAATTCTCGCCAGTACAACCCCCCCAAACTGCAGCAACAAGTTCGCTCTTCTTCTTCCTCTTTTTGCTGCTTTGGGCGCATATAACTCAGTGGCGGAAGTTTACCTGGGTACAGGGTATTACACTGTCGGGCTTGCTCGACTGTAGCGTTCTCTCTTGTTATACCCTGTACCCGTAGGGTAAAAAGGGTATATTAGGTTTGTGCAAAGTATGTAACATGCAGAAGGAAGCATCTCCGACCCCATAAAGTATATATATTCTGAATCAGCATGACGAGAGAAATCTATCTAGACATGTGCTAGACAATGCTACCTCAACCAAACTTTGCACACATAATTTTTATATAATTGTCTATTGTTGTTCAATTCGGTCAATTTTAAGAAAAGTTATTAGCAAAACAAATTTTCGCCAGTACAACCCCCACAAACTGCAGCAACAAGTTCGCTCTTCTTCTTCCTCTTTTTGCTGCTGCTATGGGCGCATATAACTCAGTGACGGAAGTTTACCTGGGTACAGGGTATTACACTGTCGGGCTTGCTCGACTGTAGCGTTCTCTCTTGTTATTAGTGGAATTCTATAGCACTTCTTCCGGCTTTGTCTATATATTTTATCATCACCAATAACTGATTAAATGCTGTAAATAGTTTTTTTAAAAAAAAGATGGCCATAAATTAAGACGTGTGTAGAGGAAAAACTGTATTTTGTTGACACAAAAAGTTATGTTGGGATTTTTATACTTAATTCTAGACTGAAAACATTTCTTGAACAATATTTTTGAACTTTAGATCTGGCAATTTTCATCAGGGCTTGCACAGATGCCCTCTCAATTTCGCAAGTAAGTCCAGTAATATTACTTTAAATTTGAAATAGTTATGGTATTTTTTCTTTTTTTCATTATGCCGAATGTCAAATAGCTTGGCAATTTGGATAGTTTTTAATGAACTTTTGAATATTTTGGTTCGTAAACTTTTCTTGTATGTTGCAGGAATACGGTCAATAATAATTGTGTGCCGAAACTATGGTGTGTTTTGTTAAAAATACTGCAATTGGTGTAACCAGGATCTATCATGATTTTTTTGCCTTTATGAAATTATTTGTTCTAGTTTAAAGTAACATTAAACATTTGGAAATCTGTAATTTATTCTCAAAGACACTTATTAGGTAAAAATTTCCGTTCAGATGATAGAGCGATTCTAGAGAGGACAGCTGCCTTTCGCTACGCCCATATTGCTGTATACGAGGTATGCTCTAATGAAAAGGTGAGGGGGAAAAATATATATTGATGAATAAATAAAAACTTTTCAAAAAAAATTCTAAAAAATGCCACCTTTTTTTTGATCAGACTAAGTACTATGTATGTTTAATTTTGAGTTTATTTTTATCAATTGTAATTGGTATAAAGGGTGTATTATAGTCCACAAGACGTAAGCAATATATATGCTTTTAATTGTCAAGTGCGCAATTATTTATAATTTTTTCGAGCTATTCATAGATGCTGCTAACTGCAAACGCCGACGCTAAAAGGCAGCAGCTGTCTGATGTCTGATAGTCATGATTAATATTATAGTGTGTTTTTTTGTTGTTGTTGTTGTTCTCTTAGCCATTGCCAGGTAATAGCACCAATTGAAGTTGTCGCAGTAGTCATTGCATCTATGGTTGTTGTTGATGTTGCTATTGCTGTTGTTTGTGTTGTTGTTGCTGTTGTTTTCTACAATTAACAATTTCAACCTTGTTGTGCATGATGCATTCAGTTGGTGGGCTTGGCGTTGGTTGTGATGCGCTCATCAGACAGCGGGAGGTGCCAGCGCTCATGTGAATAAAAGGCTGCTAAATGAACATTTGTGTTGTTGTGAGTGCTGCTGCGGTTGCTTTTATTGTTGTTGTTACAAGTGTTGCATATGCATTTTTGTTTTATCCAAAATTAGCATATAATGTATTTGTAAGTGTTTGTCAATGCATCACAAACGATATCGTTTATAAGTACACTCGTTTACTATGTACTTAGTATTGACTACTTCACACAAAAATGTCGGCCAAATGTTTGCGCTTCTACCAGAATTGAGTGTAGCTGACATTTTGATGCGAATATATTGACCGTAAACATACAGATTGAGCAACTTTGATGCGTTCGGTAATGGTTGTTTTTGCATAATCATATCTCAACGTATCGTTGCACTTGTGGGAAACCTATTTTGCATAATTAATTAATGAAAGTTTTAATTGATTTCGTATCGTCGCATCGGGCGTCTGGTGGCTCGATTAGCGCGAAATTTATGCAGTTGTTGATGTCGATTTTGCAATGCGATATCGATATTGGCGTCAGCTTATAATTTATATGAAAATAATTGTTTTCAATAGTCTGACGTTGATGGGGTTGTTGGTATTTACCAATGATGTTAAGGCGCTTAAATCCATTCAACCAGCCACTCATGCGGTGCAATGAAATCGCAGCTAGTTATTGCAAACTGCATGAGTTTTTATGAGTTTCAAATGGAATTTGGTTGTATGATGATCAACACTTGCAATTTGACGAGCGTGGTTTCAAAATCGAAGTCTCTGACAAATGTATACATACATATGAGTATGTAGTAAGAATGTTAAAAGTAATTTGACATTCTTTCTATGTTGAAGAACTCTTAAAAGAAGTGTGGCAGCTATAGTTCTTACACTTTCCGAGATCCTTGCGTTCTTACAGACAAGTATACGTAGGTGACAGAGTCCCTTTGGGCTACCTTTGAATAATTCACACATTTTTAACTTGTTAGCTTGCTCTTCTATCTATAAACTACAAATTCTTCAATTTATTGAAGTATGTAATCAACAAATGAATCCACAAAAAAAATGCCAGACACTGGAAAATCGGTATAGTTGATTGTGGTAAATTTTAGTTCTTCATAATTTTCGGCTCAATATCTTCTTAGGTAGTTCCTTCATTTTATTAGACTGCTTTCTTTCAACAATGCAAAAAGTAGATATGAAATGGTCTGAAGAGTCGATAGCTCTGTAAAATATATCGTATATGTTGTTAATTCGACTATTTTTACTTCAGTGGGATCGGCGATTTTTTTATAACATTTATTACGAGAAGTAACGGGTATAACATTCCATTACACTGTTCAACTTTATTATAATCTATTATCTTAGATTCAACTATTCTGTCAAAGTGTTTCTAAATGAAAATCGCATTCATGAAGCATTGTATCGATTTATTTATTCTCGAATAGTTAGTTCACAGACAATGCCACGACAACCACACCAGCAACTGCAATTTACAACCAACTAAGTCAGCAAGTCAACATTAACATGAGGCATATGTACGATCACAATAGCGTGACTTTGTTCGTTTGATTGGCGAAGGCAAAAACAAAAAAAAAAAAACAAAAAAAACTGCAAAAAGTGAAGGTTAGCAGCACACTAAAGATGTGAAAATCGCTGGCATGAAAGCAAGAAGATGACGACGACAATTAATGCTCTAATAAAGCCAAAGAAAACTTGTAGTATAGGCAGATGCTTAGGCCTACGTGAAGCAGCGCACAGTGCTTCAGTGTGATTTGAAAAAGCCACAATTATTGTTGCTGCAGAAGCCAGGGTAACATTTAAGTTAAATGTTCAAGTATTTATTTGTAGCTAAAAATTAAAAAAATTTTAAAAATAATAAAGAATTTTACGTATTTCCATTGCCATTTTTCCTTCAATATTTCAGCTACACTATACACTTGCAAATATGTATATATGTATTTATATTTCAGATGAAAAGATGTTGTTTTATTCTCTATTTTTTTATAAAAGGCCAAATAAAGAAAAAAATACCGGTTTAATACTTAAAATATTTATTTAAACTACGTCAAAAATATAAAAATGAAAACCTTTGTATTTATTATAAGTCTTCTATTTATTATAAATTCTAAAAAATACAATTGGTAACCCAAAATTACTTTGTAAAATAATAATATCCCAAAATGTTTCAATATTAATGAAAAAACATTTAAAATCTTTAAAAAACTTTTATAAAGAAAGCCTCATGAGTTATTGCATCTCTCATTTAAATATATAACAAATACCCCAATATTATTTGAATTTACCCACTGTGCGATGGTTTGTTGCAGGCAGACTTGCAACATGCGATGGGCGCACAGTTGGCAAGTGAAGTTCCGTTAATAATGTTGTCAAAACGCGATGCGTTGATAAGCGCTTTCGTTTTAACGGTCTATTATGTGGGCGTGGCATGCGACAGCCGACGTGATGATTTTGTGACAGTGGGCGTTAAGTCCAACGACCCGGTCGGTAGAAGCACGGATCAGCGTTCTGGTGGCATCACCGTTGATGGCATTGGTTACTATTATACGTTGCGTTACAAGCCTGAATTCTTGTTCAATAAATTTGCGCAACAAGAGGAGCCACCGGCAACTACCGCTATGCCAGAGCCAGAAGAAGTTGTGCCAACCCGGCCACCACCAACAGAGCCGGAGCCACCAATACCTATGGGCACCACATCCACGGCCGAGACTCCTCCCGAGATGCCGTCCGCTACAGAGATGATGCCCCCAATGCCGAGCAGCACCGAACAGATGCCGACGAAGCCAACTAAAAAGCCAACGACTAGACCACCAGCACCACCGACGCCCTTCACCACACGCACCTCCATCATGAGACCCCAAACGTTTACGGGCAAGCTGAGCCACAAACTCAAACAACTGCTCTTTGGCTCACCAATCGAGGCGAATCTGATCAGCAAGCAACCGACGGTACCCAAATCGAAGGGCAAAGGATTTCTGAACATCTTCGAAGTGATCAAGTTCCCCAATAGCAAGTGCCATGTGGCTATGGGAGATATACGCAGCATGGAGGGCGTTTGCTATCATGAGTTCGAGTGCAAGAGCCTGGGCGGCATACCCACGGAAAGATGTGCCGAGGGCGTGGGCGTTTGTTGTATCTGTGGGTTTGTTTGGGGCTGTGTGCGCATCGATCGTGCATCGATGGCTTTAATTGTATTTTCACTTTCAGTTCTAACCGGTTGCGGTGATGTTACCAGCCAGCCCGTTGTGTACTTTGAGAGTCCCAATTATCCGCATGCAGTGCGTGAAATGATGGTCTGTGTCCTGATCGTGAATGTGCGCAAAGGTGTGGAACAGTTGCGATTAGATTTCCAAATGTTTGAGGTAGGATTGCATCTGTGTTTGTCTCGATCAACGAGCTTCACCAGCACTTGATATACTTCAAATGCCTTAAGACCCTACAATGATCAATATAGCCCAAGTTTTGCAAATGATTTGATAAGAAAAATAGTTTGGTACTCGATCTTCATGATCTTCATCTTCAACAACAATCGGTTTCAAAATATGAAAGTAGTAGTTGCAGTTTAGCTTAGTTTATTTGAAGCTGATCCCCAAATGCCACCCTGATCACGCATCTTCTTGATCGGATCTAGATCAATTTTAATTGTTGTGCATAATTATTTTAATTCTAACAAGTTGATCTTTGTGATTACTTAAACGTTCAGATCGTAGATATTTTTTGTGTTACTGAGTTTTTGTTGACAACCCGGGATCATATTACAAACAAAATTAATTACATTCCGACTAGATCTTAGTATTTTAATATTTACTGATGATCTCCATATTTTTTGCATCTTCTTAAGTTGTTCTTCTTGAACTTTTTATAAAAAAAAAATCTGAACCCAGCATACAAACAAATTTCTAACTGATCCCACCGTCTTTGCTTTTGTTATATAAAACGGTTCATTCAGCTGAGTCGACCCACAAATGGCGACTGTTTGGACGATCAATTCATTGTATCTGGACAAAATGCTAATTTCCATGTTCCGGTGCTTTGTGGCATTAATACAGGACAGCATAGTAAGTACTAGTTGTATTACATTTTTTATAGCCTCTTCAATCTGGATCTTCATAGTCTATGTGCACGTTGGGGATACTACGGAGGGAAAAATCTATCTGTCCATCTTTGTGAAAGTATCCAGTGGTGGACGCTCGTTTAACATCAAAATATCTCAGCTCGAAGATGAATTAGCGCCCACAAATTGCTTGCAATACTTTAGCGATGGTGAGGGTATTATTAAGTCATTCAACTATGATCTGGATGGCACAATTGTCGATAATAGAGAGGCTTCATATTTTGTAAGTGGTTTCTAAGCATTGAAGAATAATTAAGTCTGTTGAAGTTCACTTTTGCAGAACAATCTAAACTATGCTATATGCCTGGCACGTTCGAAAAACGTTTGCAGTGTGGCCTACAGTACTGAACAGCTCGGTGAGGATCAGCCAGACTTTCAAATCATTAACAAGGATGAGGGTAGGCCCATAAACCATATATAGTACACCAATTCTATTTGCTTCACACACACATTTCGTTTGCAGCTGAGAACGATCTGGTGCCCGATGGCCAGGCTGGTGCTGGCATCTTCAATTGCCCGGACGACTTCATTGCCATCAATTCGGTGCGGCTGTGCGGCGAGCGCTTCAATGATGGCATCGAGTATGACGATTTCACCATGCATGCAACGGTGAAAGATATAGCCGCAGGTCCTATTATATTGCCCTTTCGCACCGATGCAGAATATGTGGGTCGCGGCTTTCGTTTGCACTACAGACAGGAACTGTGTGTCTGAGATGTTGGGTTACTAGTTCATAGGATTCTGTACAAAATTTGCTTTGTTGCCGTTGTTGTTTGTATTAAATCAAAATTGAACATGTTACGCCTAAATGTTGACTGCAGGGCATTACATGAGCACTGCTCTATGCCTAACTGTATTTAAGAGTGACCTACACTGAGAGAACATGACAATGAAAAACTCTAAAAAGCACATATTCAAAATGGAAAATTTTAGTTTTGCCTTCAAATTTCACAATTTTAGAACCCAGAAATGGTTCGGCTTCAGCACCTGCTAAGTATTCACATTTACATAACGAGTTATATATAGTATATCTTGGAAATTGTAAATGAGCTCAAAAACCTATTATATATATTATACTCAAAAGAAATCGATTGAGAATTCTATTTATAACCGTATTTCGAGATTTCGACAACATTCTAATGTAATAGGAAAGATTATACAATTTTCAATGAGTATTTAGATTGGAGGTGATATTATCTAATGGTTTTAGAATTCAAGTTAATTTGATGTATATAATTGGGCTAGAAGCTTTGAGATTTTTTGCTGAGATCCAGAGAGAACTCAGTTGTAGAATTTCAGAAATCAACTTTTAATACAATTTTTTTTTGTTTCAATGGAATTTAAATAGAATTTTGTTAAGTCACAAAACTATTTAGGTTCTAAAAGTGCAAATAAATTGAAGTTCAAATTGTTAATAGGCTCGAAATTGTTAGCAGCCTGAAAAAGTTGTCCTTCAATTTCTTGAGGTGTATGGGAAAAGTGTCATGCACATGGCGGTTTCCGTTCCCAGCCACCAGAGGCTGTTAATGTGTTTTATATATTTCACCGTTTTGGTGGCTTAGCTTTGGAGCCGCCCACCCACCGTCAAGGCGGCTCGCCATCGCCTTCATGTGTCTCGGTTGAAGCTGAAGTTCGTAGTTCACAGATCGGCGTCTGGTGTGGGTGCTGACGCTGGTTGACAGGTTTATTTCAAATTTTATTATTTTATGTTCGACGGCGTTGCAACTATGACGAAATATATAAGTTGCCGCATCGTCGACTTTGCTGTCGCGCCATTGTCGTTCGCTCGATTTCTATGCTTAAATTTGTAATAAATTCGTATTTTTTCCTTTCGATTGCGAATTTTGTTGCTCTACTCGAACTCGATTCGTACTGTACAGGTATGTACTAAAGTCACAATTAACCCACGCCTTCTTTGTAGCGGTACTCTTACATATATTTGCATATCATTTTGATTGTTTAGACTCTCTGACTGCGCCGACGTCAATGCTCGCTGCCTAGCTGACACGGTGATGACTAAAAGTGTGCAGTCAAGACAGACAACAACGACAACAACAGCAATAACAACACCAACAACCATAAAAAACGACAACAAAAATGACTTTGGAAAAATATTGCAAGCTAAAGTTTTGAAGTTTGTCGTCAAATGACGTTTGATACCTTGGTCTAAGTGCAGAGTGCGCACAGTGGTTACCAGTGAGGAATTGTGTGGTGAAAAAGAAATTTAATAAATGTTATGGGTTTTTTCAAAACACTTAGATAAGCATAAGCCACCACTAACTTATTAATCCTCGCGCGGAAGTGCTCGAGGTTGGGCTATTTTATATTTGTAAATATGTATTGTTAAGGTGCTAATCTGAATGCACGGCTTCAATGCTTTGATTAAACAGAAGAAAAATAAATGTTATAGAATAATTGTAAAAGTTTTCAATTAGGCCTTGCGTATTATATTCAGATCCCATTTCCCTTGCTGATATAATGAAGGGAAATAATTGTTACCACAGCCGGGGCCCGGAGCTAACTAAATATACTCGTATAATGGTACTAATACTATTTGAAAGTTATCCCAAATGCTTGAATATTTCCCGAAACTTGTCCAAAGTTAAAACTGGTTTGCTTTGGATTATTTACCTTCTGTAATCCCAATTATAAGAGCTTTACAAATTGTGGCAATTGTTTGAATTTTAAAATTTATTCAACCGCTTCGAGCCATGGAGTTTAACTTAAAAATATATAGTTTTTTCTTAGAATTATAATGAAGAAAATCTTGATTAGTTTGAGGCACCTATCCTCTAAATTTATAATCATAATGGGAGAATACGGAAATATTTTTATAACAACAAATTCAACTACATATATATTATATTAATATAACTTGTATTCTTTATTTATCTCGATCTGTTTTTAGTAACTTAATGAATTGAGTTACTGTTTTGCTTCACAGTGGGACTTCTTACACAACGGCTAACATAAATAAATAAAAACCGTAAAGCGAAATAATAAAAATCCCTTCAGGGCGTAACGTGCACTACATTTGAAATTGAAAATCCACCGACACCGACACTGGCGACGAAAGGCGATGACGAAGCCGCCAACGACGACAACATGAGAATCTTTGCCGTCTTGCCTGAGCCATCAGCTTTTTTTTTTGCAGCAGGGAGGAAGCGGTTAAAACAAAGCGCAGCGTTTGATGGAAATTAGGAAAAACAAAAAAGTCTAGCGGACTTTTAACTCATTTCGCTGATTTTTTTCACTTAGTTTTGTCACAGTTACGAATCAAAATATAGCGAGTTTCTACTTTTTTTTAGTTTTTGACAAGCCAAAGATTGGGGGAGGCATTTGGTTTACAGTCTACAGTGAAATAATGCGCACATTTACACATTTGCATAATTTAATCGATTCGCAATGTGACTGAGTGTGCCTGATGATGATATCGTTGCATGGCAAAAAGTGGAAAGCTTACAACACACGTTGGTCAACAAAATGCAGGAAAATTTCAAAAATATAACAATTTACGAAATACTAGCAAATTGCATTCAAAAATGTATAATAAAGGAAGATTTGCAACTATTTAAAATATATTTTAATAGCAAATGTGTTTAAAGGTAACAAAATAAATTAAATTTGATTAAATTGGAAAGGCCTGTGTATGTTAATTAGTAGGTCCTTTTTTATACCTGAGAATCGGCTTTCCGAAAAGTTCCAGAAGGAAACCAATTACTGAATCGTGCACCCATCTTTTGAAATGTAAGGGTGAAGTTTGGAGAGTCTACGTTAATATATAATATTTATTAATATAGCTACGAAAATATTATAATTTTTGTGATTATCTTCCGTAAAAACGTTGTTTTAATTAAAATTGTGAGAAGTCGAAATTAGCTTAGAAATATTTCTCGACAATTAGTAGATTAGTATTTGTTAGGATTTCAATAATACTTGTAGTTCTTAAGATACTTGCAGCTTCTTTTAAATTATAATAATTAAATCGTTAAACTGTTTGAAATATAAGAAATGTTGAGTTAGCTTAAGAAAGTGTTGCTTCAGCGAAATACTTTCCAAATTGCCATTTAAAATTAAAAATAATAATAATAAATATTTTATAATTATGAGTTTAAGGCAAAACAGCAGTTGATTTCAGTTTTGATGTTGTTTCAATTTTAATTTCTGATATCACTTATTACGTTCCAACTTATAAACATTACACATATGTAAATTCAGTGCTGCGTAAAACTTGGACTGTTAAGATTTGGTCGCAGAATGGACTTCTCAGTAGCACTTAATGACGCGCTCTTTTTTAGAAAATTAAAAACATTGGATATACATTTTTGAATTGATTTATTTCGATTTGATGTCGGCCATGTCGAAAGCCTGATGAATTCGAACAAAAGCTAAATAAAAACAAAATTATTCAGCAGCTCACATAAAGAAGCAATTCGGTATAAGGATTTTTGTAGGCCCTAATTTGAATTCCCTGTTGGCTAGTGTAATCGTTTGACTAAGAAATGTTTCGTTAGATTGCAATCGGTAAAAGTGCAGCGCTATTCTCTTAACTGTCAGCAATCAATGCAAAAAGGCTTAAGAAAAATATGCCATAATATACAAATGTCTGCTTAACAACAGCATGGTGGCCAATTGGCTTGCTCTTGCGGGTATAGCAATGGGTCGCTTCATGGTCGCTTAATTGACAACACCCCCCACAAACTACAACAACAACAACGATAGCTACAACGACAACTGCAACAATAACGATCTCAACAATCAGTCGCCGCTTGGTGCCCCATTCATGCCATTCAGCGTAGTCGTCGACTCCGTCGGCATACCACAGATCACAATCGCAAAATAAATGGCGGAAAGAGATACAACAGTATTGCTAAAAATGCCAATAACTTTTTGACAAGACATTATACAAATGTTAACTTTATTAAGCGACTTCGTCGCCAGTGTTATTGCTGCTGCGGTTGCCTGGGGACCACCAAATGAGTTTTAATTGCACGAAACACATAACGTTCAGTTATTAAGAAACACCCGAGAGGGGGAGAGCAAAAAACTACTGCAGGTTGCTCACCAACTTGTTTTGGACTTCTGTCTTTGGATCGCTTAATAAAGCGATCAACTTGAACGCCCATAGCTGATGGTGTTGCGGTTGTTGTTGCCTCTGCTTATCGCAATCTATTGGCAGGGCCGTTTGGAATTGGAAATTTTCTTGCGCATATTTCTGCAGCTCCTTGGCAATTAATTTGCCAACTTGACTGACAAACTGCACATCAGTTGATCGGAGTTTACATCCTTGTACCAACTTTATGGTACTTTAAACGGCATGGGGTCTGCAGCACTCATTTGAATCGCTCGAATGCTAAATGATTGGCGCATTGAATGTGGCCAATAAAATGATGGCAACTTGTCGTTAGTCAATGTAATTAGTCAATGGCAAAATGCCTAAATCTTTTGGAATGTCTTCGACAAATGGGATGGGGGGGACGCATGTTAAAATTTATTAGTAATATGAAAAATATTCCAATGATTGGACTGAGTTAATGACCGACTAGGGCTCTTCAAATATTGCTTCAAACAACAGCAGTCTAGAGTTCTGTTGCAGAATAAGATTATTGTTTAGTAGCATTGCTTTGTTATTGCTGCATAATAAAATGTTCTTTGCTTCTCTATTTCTGTTTAATTAAATAAGCCTTCAAGCCTGATAGGAAATTTAATTGTTA